CTAAACACCATTTCAAAGGAGGTGTCCATTACGGATGTGGCCTTTCCCGGAGTAACCATATGTAGTCCCAAGACGGTAAACACGGAGCGCGTTCAACGCTACGTCCGAACGCTGTGAGAAACAATGAAGAATCTCATGAAGGAACCTATTGATATTCTCAACCTTTTCAGCCAGATACCTGCGGAGTATGATGTAGCCGAAGTGGCAGCTGGCTTCGAGTTTCTCAATGCCTTTACGGATCAGAGCTTTGTCCCTCCTACGCATGACAGCTACAAGGCAACGGATGCTGTGCTGCGACTGAACAACGTGTCCATATGGGAGGCTGCCATGGCTGTCAGTCCGGGCTGTGCGGATTTTGTAAAGCGCTGTTTTTGGGGCGTTGGGGAGTTTCCGTGTAATCAGAGCCATGAATACTTATCCTTCATACCGACGACTGCATTCCTTGGTCCGTGCTGCTCCTTCAACTACAATCCGCGGAATTCCAGCTTTCTGCCCTTCTCAGCGAACATCTTTGGCATGGATGGGGGTCTCACTTTCATTGGCGCTGAAGGCTCTGAACACAACCTAAACACCGGCCTCATTGTGCTTGTCCATCATCCGATGGACTATGTAACGGAGAAAGCCGCATCGGTAACCATAACTGCAAGGTCCGAGAGCTTTGTCGAGGTCTCGCCCACCGTGCAAACCTCCTCGACAGAGGTGCTTGAGCTGTCCGAGCGCAAAAGAGATTGCCTCACCTCGGATGATGTGCAGCTACGCAATTATCGCCAGGCAGCCTGTCTGCTCGCCTGCCAGACGGAGGCAATTGGCAAACGCTGTGGCTGTCATCCTTACCTCCTGCCCACCGTGAGCAAGAAGTTCAAGGAATGCAGTCTGAACGATACCTTTTGCTATGCATATAACTATGGTGAATATAGAATAACTACGCCGTAACAAGTTGCCCACCTTTGCATTCTTTCCCTCCTTCGCATTACCTATTCCCATCCTCACTCTCGCGGCGCTTAAGTTATTTACCTACACAGACCCGCTGAGTCCTACACTTTGTCTTGTGTGATGCATTGTGGTCTCCATGCCGTCTTCCTCCCCCCTCTCTTTCTCTCTCTGGTTGCTCCAGTTACATAATTTATAATTTATATTAAATATTCAAAATACGTCCCTGTCTGCCAGCTTAAGCGTGCCTCTCCAGAAATACTCGTACTGCTCCACAACTGGTGCTTAAAGGCGCTTCGGCGCTTCGTAAGCAAAACCCATAACCATTCCACATAGCATATTGTATGTATATGTCGGAAGCATAAATACCATGTTTCGGCAAGTGTCTGCTGAAATTCCTCCTATTAACTTGCAAACACATATCTACATGTGTATATGTGAGCGTGTTTAACGAGTGAGTATTTGTTTAACGAGTTAGCGTATTAGAGTGTTAAATTACTTCTCCTTTGATGATATATCTACCTAGCTAAACTTTACATAAAGCAAATTAAAAATACGCGATTTGGGCGTTTCTCCAATAAATAGATTTTGCTCACAACTATTTTCGAATGTTTCCATCGTATCCTCAAGACTTTATACTCATACACCAATTTTACGATATACCTACTCTCTAAACAGTCATACATATAAGAGATCTAATTTACAGACAATTTCAAGAGCGTTCGCTGTGATCAGTGCTTGCCCAATTGCTATGACGTCACATACTCAACGCTGTCCTATAAAACGGATCTCAATCTGCACTCATTCTCTGTCAGTGGCTTTTAGTAAGTATGCAATACTATTCTAGTCCCTAATGTAGTGACCTTAATAATAGTTTACTTAGCAAGCAGGAGACGCTCAACAATGACAGCTTCATGCTACGAGTCTATTTGGCCAAGCAGGTGGTTCCAGTCATACGCAAGGTGACCGTCATGTCCTGGGTTGGTCTGCTATGTAAGTGCTTTTGAGTGCATAAATTTCCGATTACTATTTTTCAATTTATCATACGATTGCAGCTGACTTGGGAGGCATTTTCAATTTGTGCTTGGGCTTGAGCATGATTTCCATCGTGGAGTTCTTCTACTACTGCACTTATCGCTTGTATGTTCATTATCAACAGCAGAAGCAGCTTCTCGTGAAACATGCTTGGAATTAGTCTCGATTTAACAGATAGTATTCATATATTTCTATATATCTTTTATCTATAACTTAATTGTAAAAGAGGTTGTAACAACGCGAATTATTTTTTCTTTTTTGCCTTTTGCGACTGCGTGGTTGCTTTTCGCTTTTGAGCAACTGTCGTTTGCTGCTCAGCCGCTTCATCATCGCTGTCCCTGTGGAATGACAAATTTATGAATATACTTTACGTATACCAGATTTATTTTTGTCATATTCAAACTCACCCCACGGTGGCCATTTGCTCGAACATGTCCTCATACTCCGCGTCGAGCGGCGCTGCCTTAGACTCCCGTTTGTTTTTTATGCTCTTGTGCTTTTGCACTTCAGGCTCCGCTTCGTTGTCATCCTCGCTGAGCTGCCGCTGTTGTGGCAGCTGGTTAATGAGCACCTTCGTCGCCTTCGACTTAACGTAGCACTGATAGAGCAGCACAGTGGAATCAGCATCGTGTATCCGCACATAGCGATCCAGAGAAGCGGAGCTCAGATATTTTCCCGTCTCATCCAAGTGAAGGTCGCTGATGCCGCCCGTAAAACCTTTATAAGTGTGCACATGAGTTTTCATACGGCGGGTGTCAAAGGCCTACCAAGGAATCTCAATGAAGTAAGTAAATAGACATAACTTAAGGCTTACCTTTAAGACTCCCATTGTGGTGCCTGTATAAATATAGTGACCATATGCTACGAGCGACGCAAAGCTCATGCCGTGCTCCTCGCTGGCAAAGTGTGCCACAGGTCGACGTTGCTTGCGCGTGTCGTACAGCCTAACGTAGCCATGGCGAGAGCAGGTGGCCAAGACGCTTGGCCCATCCACAAAGCCTATATCGCTATCCCACACGGGCACCTCCAGCTGCAGATAATCGTTGGGCAAATTCTTGGAACTGAAGATTTGCTTGCCATCGTCACTCAGATCGTAGACTTTCAAGTTATTCTGTCGAGCTTTGCCACCGGTGGCCACAATTTGCCTAGCAGTGGAGCACTGACGCAAGTGGTCCATATGATCCCCAGTGGTTATGAGAACTGGTTCCGCCGCAGACTCTTCCTCCTCTTGAGCATCCAGCGACATAGTCTGTATTTTTCCATTGCTAAAGCCAGCAATCAACTTGTTGTTATAGCGAGCTAAACCTACAATTGGGGCGGCGGCCACAGTGATGTGGCGCGTACTTGAAGCACCACTTACTCCAAGTGAATGCACCTCAGCCACATTCTTCGCGCGACCGAGCAGTATTTCCGTTTGCGCCTCATTGCCAAATGCCAACGCCGTCACTCGGGAATCCTTGTCTAGAGCTGCCACATCAGTAAGGTTTGATTGTATATATGGATTCTTCTCCAGAGCGGGCAATAAATCTATAACAGATAATGTTAAGAGCCGCAGCAGAACATGTCATTTGACTCACGTTTGAAGGAGCCTGTGTGTGTGCCCACAAACAATTCATGTTTGGCTGTATAATTGGCATGCTTTAAGTTTGCTGTAGTCCACTTCATATCGTTCAAAGGCCCCTTACTAAATTTTAAGACAATCAAGCAACTCAGAACTAGCGTCTGTCAGGCAAAACAAACGCAACACGTGCAGCGAGACAACTCTATCAGCTGCCTATCGATTAAAACGATTACCTGCAGTATTTACCAACACTGATTATTAATCGTTTAGCACATATCAGCGGTGGGTAAATATATCGCCTTCGTACCTAGCGACTTTTTATTTAAGACAAAAACAAAAACACGCTCATTTCCTCATTTTTACATAATTCATAGAAGTTATGGCGCTAACAAAAGTGTACGATGCGGCCACGGTGTTTAGGAACCTCAATGGCATTATGAATGTCTACAAGCCGGCTGGCATGAAAGTTAAACATGTGCGCAATGCCATACTAAGCAACATATGCAAAGGTGCGTTAAAAGCAGAATTGATAACTGAGATAAATGAAGTAATGCTATTTATGTGGTAGGACTCAATGAGCTGGAGCAACGAGAGCCACGTAAACTGCCAAATGACATGCGACTGCTGGGCACTGGCGCTGCCACAGACACTGTACTGCATAAGATAGCCGCCAATACAGATCTCTCGGACCACATATTGGCCAGTGGGCCACGCTACTTGCCGGGCGATATTCGCTGCGCAGCTGTCAGTACACTAGGATATCACACAAGCGGCGTACTGCGTAAGTAATGTATATTACTGTATTCCACAGCAGTCATTCGCATATCGTTGTGTTTAGTGTTTGGGCTAAACAAGGGGCTGCAACAGTCCAGCCTCATACAGCGGAATCGTCCAGTGCGGGTCTACCATGTAACCGCTCGAATGGGCACAGCCACAGAGAATCACCTGCCAGACTCACGCGTAACAGTGCGCGCTAATCACCGGCACTTGACACCGGAACGCATTAGCGGATTGGCCGCTTCGATGCAGGCTTCGCATCAGCGGAAAATGTACGAGCTCTGCGGAGTGGATTTGCAGACGCAGGCGGCCTACGAGCTGGCCTGCAAGGGACTGCTGCGACCCGCCGACAATAGCCAGCCCGTCGTCTATGGCATCAAGCTCATACACTTTGAACGACCTCACTTCACTCTCGAGCTGCACACGATCAACGAGAGCGAACAGTACATGGCAGCCCTTATCCACGACATGGCTATTGAACTACGCACTGTGGCGCACTGCTCACAGATTCGTTGCATACGCCACGCCCACTTTGATGTGTCGGAGAGTCTGCTGCGCCATGGGTGGCACCTGCCGGGCATCATGAAGAATCTGCGACTGCAGCAAAGTGTACTCGAAGCGCATGCGCAGCTACTGGACCAGCAGCGCGTGGATCTACATGCTGCTCAATAGCTATTTATAAATAATTCAAATGTAATTATAGGAGTTGTATATAAATGTTTAATTTAATTTGTTGAATTTCAGTCTGGCTGTCAATTTGTAATGCTCCGCAAAGTGCTTCTGTAGTTTATCGTTCAGCTTCTTCCCGGCCACAGAGTCCAGCACCTTCTCCACCACATCCTGTGCCTCCTTCAGACGCAGTTCAGCTTGCTCCAGCAGAGCTGCTGCTTCAGCTTGCTCTCTGCGTGCTCGCTCCTCCAGCGTGTGAGTCATCTCGATGAGAATGATGCTGACGTAGATGGCTAGCTTGATGCTGTGAGGATCAAGCAAGTGGCACACGTTGTATAACTCATCGCAGAGGCGCTGCTTTCGGCCCAACTGCAGATCGCTCAGTGTGGCCAGCTCCAGCCCTGGCTCATGGCCGTACAACTGGACGAGCGTGTGCTTCAGATTAAACATGTGAAAGTGATTGGTGTGCAGCAGCTGGGATAGTCGAGCCAACAGCAGCTCCACCTGGCTGGCTGTGGGTCGTCCAGCCAACAGGGACTCCACTTGCTCAGTCATGTGTGTCTGCACTTCAGTCACGTAGGCGGCATCCACAACCATGGGGCAAGTGTCGCACTTCCACTGGGTCTTCTCATCAAGTGGGTCGACCGGCAGCTGGACGCCTACGCACGTCTTGGACACATCGCCCAGGCAACGCATGGCACTCACGTAACTACCGTACTCGGTCGGATCCTCACAGCGTGCACAGCGGCAGCTAAAATGCTTGGTCATGAGTAGGTGATGGTGTCGCATTTGCGTACCCCACAATATGTTGGTGTATGTGATCTTCAAATGGTCTCCCTTCTTCAGGTCGCAGCCCGCACGCACCGCAATGCGTTGTGTGGCTGCATCGAACTGGAAGTAGCAATTTGGCTGGCAGGCGTGCTCCATCATACAGGCTTGCCGGAAGAGACCGCTCAACTCTATGCCCGTGGCCAGCTCGATGACCATATAGTTGGTCTCAATGATGCCGCACAGGCGATGCAGCAGCTGCGGCTCATAGTCGCTGGGCATGCTGTCTCGTTGCTTGCTCTGCTTGATGCGCTGCAGGAAACGCTGCTGTAGATAGCCGACAACTCGCTGCTCCGCTTCCTGGTGCAGCTCGGTGCCCAGACGCTCCTCTTCATGCGACTGCATTTCCAACAGCGCCCGCCAGCGATCTGGATGTTGCTGCTGCAACAGCAGGCACTTGAGCACCAGCAACGCATCGTGTCGGTAGTAGTCAACGAGAGCACGTACGTCCGTCTTGGTTTTGGGTGCGTTTCCCAGACTGAGGACACTGCACTCCAGTTTCTCGTGCTCGCATCCGACGCTGCATACGGGCCAGCGACAACTGTTGAATATCGAAGATTATTACACTGTACTTACACTTATTCAGCATCCGAAGAAGTACACTATACTACAAAGACTAAGGAGTACTACTAATAAAGCATTAGGCTGTTGGTTTTGGTTGGGTTAATGCGCATCGAATTCTGAACTACACGATAAGAGAATGATGACTGTGCTAATGGATGTCTGAATTTTGTAGGACAGCTTTTATTAAAACCATTTGCGGACAGAATGAACTACTAGTTAGAATTCGTTTCGAAGGTCGTAGAAATACCACCAACAAATGCTTTCATTTGACCTAAGAATTTGTGGATTCCCTGCAACTCTGGAATTTTGTTGCACAGTATTTGACACTCACTTGCGACAATGATGTTTGTCCACGCGGCAGGGCGTGTAGCAGCCTACGCAGGGGACGATGCTAGCCGATTTCTCTTCGTCGGTGAGAAACCACTTAGGACCCACGACTAGGGGATCCTCGACAAATATGATCTGCTTGGCCTTAACGTTGTGTGTGGCCACCAAGTAGCGGCCCAGTTGCTCATCCTGCTGCTCCCGGAATGGCCGACAGCAGCTCTTGTGCTGGGGCCAATCCTGCCTCTGGTGCTCCCCATTGCAATAGCGTACGACCTTGCAGCGGGTGCAGGTGAGCCGGGCGGCCACATGGCAAACGGCACAGTTAGCACTCGGGAGCGTCATTCCAATTGTCACTCTACGACTCCAAAACGCAATGATCTTCTGTGAGCGGACAATATTAGATTCGATTTCGGGCTTCCACTGTTTATATTTAGCACTTTTCTCCAAACATTTACCTCAGCTCGCTCAAAATGTATTCAACGTGCTCTTCGACTCGTTCAGAAATGCTATAAAAATCTCTTCAAAGTGAGAGTCTACATATATAATAGTGCACAGCAGTATACACACTATAGATATGTATATATGTACATCTATATTTACACATACAGCGAAATACACTGAAGAATCATTCCATTCACAAAAAGCCGTAATCGAACTCGAATTGCAATATAACTTCAGATATACCAACTTTTATGATTACATAATTTTAATAGGCAATCATTTGTTAAAATTAATTTGTAGTATATTTATTCATTAATCGAAAACCATACAATTGCAGCGTGAGTGAGAAATTCTGATTTAGGTCAATATAAATGATCACACTAATTAATTGACTCGATTTTTTTTAAATCGAATACCCGAGAAACTTCGTTATCTCCGGATGGTAGTCAAGATTACGTTCTATGCTGAGACTAAATGATCTGCAAAGTTTTATTGCAAATAATAAGATCCACTTTTAGGCATTGTCTTCATTTGTTGATAGTCAACTTGTGATACTCGCGGATCCATCCCGAGTGTAACGATTCACCTCCATATTTTTTCTTCTTTCAGTTCCATTTAAATTTCCTAAATTGGTAAAGATTTATGCCTTAATAGGCTATGTCCGACATGCGATTCCATGATCCAACTCCATCAAGTTTGAAATTCGTAAATCGTTCGCTCATTAACAGAGAGCATTTAAAAGTTTTACATATCCCATATAAGTTATATATTTTGAATAATTATCCATTATTAATAATTCAGGTTAACTGAATTTTGAGCGCTTCTATAGTAAATGCGTTCTTGTTTCCAACATATCCATTATTAAATGAAATTCCACAAATATGACAACCAACTTTTATTTAGTTTTAATTTTTCACAATCGAATACATTGGGTCTAAGCCGTGTAAAACATTTTTCTTAAATAATCATTTTATTTAAGGATTTTTTGTTAAATAATTTAATTTTTAGATTTGACTTGAGACTTCTCCGCTTGATTGGGTCTATGTGTGTATTATTATAAACTAATCTGGTTTATAGTCTATTTTGTGTGGGGGCGTTAGCTTAGTACGGCTCTTGGGGCGCGTCCAAGTCTCGGTAGTGAGACCTGGCGCGGTAATCGAAACCACCGGGCCTGCAAGCAACGAAAATGAATGTGGTTTAGATTTAGGCATTATATACACAAATCTTATATAATAAAACAAACATTTACTGCAGCATGTGATTGCATAATAGAAATCATCAGAAACTCTGTATTTTATTTACTGAACAAATTATAATCCTTAATTAGATCCAAACCCCACAGGTTTTAAGTTTTATTTTTTTGTTGTTTGCTTCTATTTTTTTCCTTAATACAATTGGAATATTGTACATAGATAGAAGTGAAAATCGTTTATATAAAGTTTTTCTTGTCCTCATTGGTTAGGAATTAACTTAAATTGCTTTATAGAACTGAGCTTGAAAATCGTATTACGCGTTAACTGTGTGTTGTTTCTGCGTTCTGTGCTAATCAATCAATTAATTAATTAGTCAAACATATCGGAATTAATGGGCGCATCCAAATCATGGTAACCGATAATCCGGCGTTGGTGTTCCAAGGGCATTTCTCTGCAAAAAATTTGCGACACAAGAAAGTTGTGACAAATTTCGTTTAAAGACCAACAACAAAACAAATGAAAGCAAGTTAATGAAGGCATATCGATATCGGGACTAATAGACTAGGCTCCTTATCGCGTTAAATTTACTTGGATGTAGAATATACTTAGGAAAAACATGTCTGATTTCTGATTATTTAGTAGAGAAACAATTCTCTAAATGTTATTCTGCTAAGTTAATAGATTATGTATAAGAGCTCTTTTTAAAAAGGCTATTATGAAAGCTGAAAAGTACTGCAATATATTAATTATAATAAAGATTAAAAACGACCGTAGTTTGAGAGTTAAAGAGTATTGATGACTAAAGTTCAAAATGTCATTTTCAATTTACATTAGTTATTAACTTACTCTGTTGGCTTTTCAGATCAAATATATTGAAACTAAAGTCTTTTGCTTAGGGATAGTGAAATATACAAAAAGCTGTGGCTCGATTTATATACCGGCTAAACAGACGGACGAAATACATAGACATAGAATTTTATTCTATACTATACCCTGACGTACTTATGTATGTACCATGTACTATGCATTATAATGCAAGCAAAGTGATCTACTGACCTGCGTACTGGTGGAAAATTGCGTCCACCCCGTCCTCCACCGCCCATCATGGGCGGTGCGAACCCATAAGGCATGGCTGAGAATGGCGGATACATGGGTGGCCGATACCTGTAGAGGCAAAAAGTATTCATTATACGTTGAGGTGTATCATGGATATGTATACTTACCCTGACCCACGGCCTGATTCGGATTCGGTGCGTTTGGAACTACCTGGATGTTCCGGTAGCTGTGGCCGTTTGGGATCCCGCAAATAATTGTTAAAATATTGCACCTCCTTGCGCACCTCTTCGACTTTCTCCTCGTGCTTGTTGAAGATGTGTTTGCGTATGAATTCTGGACCCTTGAACTTCTTGCCCGAAAGCGGACACAACCATTTGTCCTTGGCTAGTTCCTGTGTGTTGGCTTGAACGAATTTTTCCACTTCGGTTTCTGGATTTTTGGCGCCCAGCTCTTTAATCTCTTCATCGCTCAGTTGCACAGTCTTTGTCAAGAACTGTTGCAGTTTGCCATCGTATGCTTTGATGTATTCCTGGACATCGTTGCTAGTGACTCGCATAGGGGCTGGTCCACGGGCATGTATAATGCCACAGCGATTAGGCATTTCATCCTCGTATGGATACTCGCAGTGATTGTAGTAGTCTACCGAGTGCACAATTCGTAAGTAAAGCACCAAGCGATCGAGAACCGAGATTAGTGACTCGTCCCGCTCAATGGGTTCGCCGTCGCCGTCTTTATTATCGCCGGCCAGGCCAAGCAGCTCCTCCTCCTCGGCCGAGGCTTCTTCAATGAGGTAGTCGGTTATGTTCTGAAGCACCGGATTCTTGGAATTGAAGCCATACGATGGTGAGCTACTGGCACCGCTGCCATTGGTTGCCTCCTGGCCAGCTTTCTTCTCCGCATCCTCAGCGTCTGAACGATTCGAGTCGCACCACAGCTTAAATCTATCGTCCAGATTCATCGCAATCTTTGCGCACAGTTTAATGTCTGCGCGCACAATCTGCTTATGCGCAGTGATACCATTGGCAGGACGAACTCGTCTGCTCAAATCCCGGTTGACTATGGCGCCCATTTCGCAGTCGCGCAGACGCTGATTGTTCAGGCTCCAGCATATCTCTTTGATGTTGACGTCGCGCGTAAACGTGATCCACCCGCGGCGGTACCAGCGTCGCTCGACTAGGGGATCGGCAATGGCTACACGTAGATAGCCACTGAATCGTTTGCAAATAGCTTCAATCTCTGCCTTAGTGATTGATGGCGCCAAATTGCGCAGAAAAATTGACGAGGTGCGATGCAATGCTCGCGGATGTGGCCCATCCTTAACCTTGTCCAGATCGATTGTTTCGGTCACTTCATTTGCTGTTGATTCTTGAGTGCCCGCTTCGGGCTTGTCTTCTGCTTTCGCCCCCTCCTCTTCGCCATTCTTTTCTGCTGGATTGTCCGTCGTTGGACGCTCCGTTTGTCCTACTGGTTGCTCAGTTTTATCCTGCTTGGATTCTTCACTAGCTTCACTTTTAATTTCTAGTGCCTCTTTAGGATCAACCACGTCTTCTGGCTGGGGACTTTCGGGTGCCAGTAACTTTTCTTTAGCTGCTGTGGCAGCCTCCTCCTTGTCTTTTAGTGCCTCCGCTTTCTGATCAGCACGCAACCCCTCTTCTACATCGTATTTAGCTTTGACCTTTTCATCGTCTGATTCCGTGTCTGAATCGGAGCTAGAAGAAGATGAGCTGTCATCGTCGCTGCTGTTCCGTTTTCGTTTCTTAATTTTCTTTTTCTTTAGCTTTTTCTCATTGTCACTTTTAACTGATTCTTCATCCTCTGGCTCTTTACTTCGTCTATCATCCGACTTTTCGCCGTCTTTGCCTGTCTGAGGATGCACTTCCATCGGTTCATCTTCATCCCAATTCTCCTCGTCAAGGTTAACGGGTCTTAAGCTTTTATGCTGTGGTGATGAAGCTCCCGGCAAGTCGTCATCTTTCTCCGTTTTTGGACTCTCAGGCTCCCGTTTTGCTACGACGGCTGATTCAGTTGTTTCTGATTTGCGCTCGTAAACGATCGGCGGATCTTTCGGTTTTTCGTCAAGTATCTTAAGATCTTCATCAGTGCCACCCTCTAGTTTGATCACACAAGTATCCAAAACTCGCACCAAAGCATCAGCCTGCGAAGAGTCGACTTTCACGCTGCCAATGGTGCCGTTCTCCAGTAGTTCCAGAAATACTTCTGTTCGTCTCTATGGATTTTAATATGCAGGTTTGGTAACTTAGTTATTGAACATATAAAAAGTTGATTACCTTTAGAAATCCCCGCTGTTCTTCGCTCCGTCGCACGCTGTCTTCTGGATGGTATTTGTTTTTGAACCTGCGAAAGACAAAGCTCAGATTAAGAACAGACTTCGAACCAAGCCAAATAATAAAGATTATTATGTTTAGATTTAAGTGGGCTATATGTATTCGATTTGGTATATTGCAGGTGGTTTTCGATTTCCTTGTATCCATAGGCTAAGACATCAAGTATTTATTTATTAGAATAGATTTATTGGACTTGAATTTAGATTTTTCTTTTGCATATGTACAAAATTCCCAGGGTCTTACCTTTGCAAGCGCATTCATAATGTGTATATGTATATATTATATATTCGTTAGATATATATATATATATAAATTTAGGCATTTGCTCGCAACGAATTTAAAAATATCGCGGTTTCAAAAATATAAACACAACCCACGGCATTGCTCGCCGGGTAAATTTAAATTTTAAGTTATTCTTTCAGTTTCTACTGAGACAGAGGCTGTATCAGTGTCTCGTCTCTGAGTCTCAGATCGCAAAACGCCATAAAACCCATAAATAGCTGCAGAGAAAAACTTAATAATAAGTATACAAGAGGGTTATGAATTTTATGAATGCAGTCGCACTGAGAGAAATAATTATAATTAAATAAAGAATAAAATAAAAAGTGTACACATAAATATAAATTGTTCGCAGTGAAATGCAATGGATGTCGAGAAGCCACTTTAAAGTGTGCGTCTGGCCTTTGCTGTTGTCATTTTCAGTTTTTGGTTAGGGAAGACCCATTCTTACTCACCATTCCTCGTCCTTGTGCGCCACAAAGAACTCGTTTAGCTGCTGTCTTTTGAAGTCTGTCTTGTATTCGGTATATTTACGCATCACTTCTGAGTCGGATATGTTCTCGTCCTGCGTGTCCAAAAATTGCTTCAGCGTTAGCATTGCCGGCTGCGTCTGTGTGTCCCCACTGACACCTCCACCACCAGCAGGCCCTGTTTCCCGAACAGACGGGCCGTGGCCGGCATGGGAGTAGGCCGAGTGCAGTGATTGATAATGATCATTCCAGGCCTGTACCAGGTACGGATCATAGCCTACAACATAAGCATATAATAATGAATGTGATAATAATAATAAACTAATAATATTAAAAAGGCCTTACCAAAACGCGGATTGGACCTCATCTCGCTGTCACCCCAGTCGGGACGCATGCGCTTCGCTGGCGGCATCTCGCGCCCCGGTGAGCCGTAACGTGCAC